GTTCCAGACAGTGGATGCCCTTCGTGAAGCCATCTTCAACACTTGGAGCAACGTTCCCACTAGCCTCCTGGAAACACTGGCATCAAGCCTAAAACCATTGTTTGAAGTCATCAACAAGAATGGTGGAGCTACTCATTACTGAGTCCTTTTTTTGACACTTTGATTTCTGTTTTGGGGGGTTTTCAGTTTTTTTTGAGCTATGGTCTTAAACTTTTGATCAGCTGAAAAAAAAATCATGAGTGTAAATGTAGTTTCAGAAAATTTCCTGCTCAAAATTTCTTGTCTCTTGCACTGATTTCTTCTTTTAACATTGTGAAGCTCTACTTAGAACCTTCTTAAGATCCAATAGTGCAAAATGCAAATTCTTGCACTTTTTTTTAAAAGATTTTAATCAGGAGTTTATGTAGGCAGATAATAATGTTAATGATTGTTAGCAAACTATTCTCTTGGATCAGTGGAGAAATTTAATGAAACTTTGGGAAATAAATTACTGGATGTGCATCTACAACTAAATAACTTTTGGAATGAATCCTTCTTATTTTTAAACTTCTTATCTTTATTTGCTCCCATCCTTTTCTCTTATATGCAAGTTTGTTTGTAATACGCCTTATTGTTTGTACATTGTATTATTTTGTGTGTTCTTTGTTTAATTAAAAAAAAACTTTTGGAATGAATCTGTCAAGATGGCTGCCACATCTAGTGAACATGAGCCAACACAAAAACAACCATTAATCTATCAACTTTACAGGCATTAAGCTCAAGTTGGATGTGGCAGCAGTAGGTTCAACCACACAAGAATATTTCATTTTGAAAAGAGGTGTGTTCCGACCAGAAGGATGCCTCTGGGTTCTTTGTATCTGATGTGGACTGTAGACCCGTCCGGACGGACCAGCAGCACCGGATACATCCTCTCATAGTGCTGCCGACCAAAGCGGACCACCGACGTCTTGTTGGAGTTGTGCAGGTTTGCGGTGGAGTGCAGGAGAGAAACCTGCTGGACCTCTGACCCCGAACCGCCTGCACGGGACAACAGAGGACAGACAACCCTGCAAACAAACACACAAACCGTGACAAAAACAGCACAGAAAACAAAGCAGTGCAGACATGTGTGACTTGATGTTCCGTCCTTGGCTGTGAACAGAACTCCGGCTTACCGGGTCAGGACGCCGGGAGGAAGATTTAACTTTTTAAATAAAATGTTCGCCATTCGTGATGACCCAGTTTCACCTAAATGCTAGTATCAATAGTTAGAATTCACAAAATTACAGCCCAGTTTCTGCATCACAGGTCACCATGACACTTCCGGGTTTTCTTCTTCGGTGGTCAGTGGACGGTTGACGACTACCAAACAATTTAGTTACCGCCATCTACTGGACAGGATGGTAGAAACGGAAAAATACATTTTTTTTTTATTATTAAACAACAAAGAACACACAAAATAATACAATGTACAAACAATAAGGCGTATTTCAAACAAACAAACAAACAAACAAACTTGCATATGAAAGAAAAGCATGGGTGCAAATAAAGATAAAAAGTTTAAAAATAAGGAACAAAAAAAGGCTGGGGTTTAGATGTTAAATTATACTCTTCAATTAAAGAGCACAGATTGTGGGCATGTTTAGTCTGCATCACTTTAAGAGAATTGCAGTACAAAATAAAGTCATTGTGAAAATGATAGAAATTTGGTTTAACCTTAAGATATTTAGCTTTATGGATGAAGAACTTCCCCAGAATGATGATAGTGTTGATGAGAAAGTCACTGTTCGACAAGGTGAGGGATGTCATCATGGAGGCGGATGAAACTATGG